CCCCCCCCCCTTCGGAGAGTCTGACTCCCGAAGGTGGGGTAGCGGGGCGGGGGACTACTGAGGGAGATGGACATGCTGTCCAGCCCAGCTCAGGTCAGGAACATGGACTCTAGAATCCCACCAATTGGATTGCAGTCAACGGTCCAGTTTCTTGCTAGTCATGCTAACTCAGAAAGAATAAGTTGAGTCCGTGTCTTAGTTTCTTGGGAGTGAAAGGAGAGAAAAAAATCCCATCTCACAGAATTGTTTCAAACATTTCTTTTAGATGTGTAGTCTTATATTGGCCCAGGGCAGTATCTGAAATCAGTCTTATAGAATAGAATATAACCCTGTTAGCATGGCACTGTGTGCTCTACTCTTAACTGGAAAGGACAAGATGGAATGGGTTTCTATGTGAGGGAGTGAGTGACAAATGATGGGGACAACTCAAGGTAAGTTCTAAAAATGCAGAGAGTCCAGCAGGTTTGGATGCCTCTAATTAGGTAGGTTTTCAAGTCTTCAGGAACTAATAGCAATGTTTTGAGTCCTGTTAAGTAGGAACACTTCCCATTAAATGAGTGAGCTTCAGATTATGAAGGTTATTCTTCTACTATTAGGTTACTCTTGTAAATGTGGTCACTGTTTTCATTGGAAAGACCAGGACATGTATTTCACTCCATCTGTTTTGCATAAATACAGTACAAAATTGCATTTCTGTAAGCTTTCTGTTTTTTCCCCCTGGCTTGTTCTTACATCTTATACTGTCTTTGTAGAATATGTTTATGGAGCAACAGAAGTTTATTCATGAATCTCTCACTCTTCAGAAGAACAGAATGGAGGAATTTAAATCACTGTGTGAAGAATACTTGGAGGTCTGTTGAACATTCTTCAAAGCAACCTATACAAGGGGACACTGAATATCCTGGTATTCTTTCTGTGCTTTGGATAACACTTTAGGAAGGTTACCTGCAAACACCTGCCAGCATGTCCCTCATGCTCCATGTAAACCTAAGCACAAAGTCAGTTTTTGATTTTAGGATTCACTCATGGTTAGGAGAATCATTCAAGGCAGGACTTGCTGCCTTGGTGATTTCATCTGGAGCTGTTCATATTGCACAGGGCATTAATCCTCTTCAGATCATCCCATCTTGCCTCACAATGCATTTTTTCATTGGGTATGTATGTGCACACGTGCACACACGTGTACTTGTCTGTGCGTGGGTGTGTAGAGGTCAGAAGTCAACTCTTACAGATACTCTTCATCATATCTTTTTTTTCCTTTACCCTTTTGTTTGTTTGGTTTTAATTTTGAGACAGGGACTCGCTGTGTAGATCTGGCTGTCCTGGAACTCACTATGTAAACCAGTCTGGCCTCAAACTCACAGAGATCCGCCTTCCTGCCTCTGTCTCCTGAGTGCTGGGATTAAAGGTGTGCTCCACTGTGCCGGGCTCCATCATACCCTTTTGTAACAGGATGACTCACTGGACCTGGAACTCTTCACTATGGCTAGGCTGGCTGTTCAGCAGGTCCGTTGCTGTCCCAGGTCGATGCATCACCAGGCCTGACTTGTAGTATGTGTGCTGAAGAGCTACAAGGTTGCCTTTTCATGCTTGTAGAGCAAGCTCCTCGCCTACCACTGCATTCTTGCCCCCAAGAAATAGTTTTACACACTGCAGCTCTCTTCCCAGACCCTCTCCATCTGTTTTTAAGCAGAATAGTGACAAGAATATTTGCACTTACTTTACTTGCTCAGTCCATTTACATTTCCCTTCATCGTAGGACTGAAACATGTCTTCATCTGGCCAATTAGAACCTTAAGACAGTCCCCAGGTATAGCACTCAGTGAGAAAGTAAGTGGAAGACAGAGATACTGTGAATTGAGAGTTATCCTCCGTAATAATCTTTCTAAGTTCTTCCTGTGCAGGTTGATTCACCTATGCTGTCTCCAGGTTTGTAGCTCTCTACAAAACAATTAAATACCGGACGTTCTACTTTCATTCAGACTCAATGTGAATTGGCTTGTTCAAGTTGCAGTTAAAATTTTGTTCATGTAGAGTAATTCAGATGACCTGAAAAAAACCGAGTTGACAGAATTCATCCTTGCTTTCTTATGCTTCTCTCCTACAACAACCCCCACCCCTGACACGCACACGCACATGCACAAGCACACGTGTGTGCGCACACACACACACACACACACACACACACACACACAGAGAGAGAGAGAGAGAGAGAGAGAGAGAGAGAGAGAGAGAGAGAATATATATATCTGCCAGTGCCTGTTCATGCTGAAATAACATTCTTTAACTACTCAGTGGCCCAGAAGCTTGCTCGTCCATTCCAATGTTAAGATCTCTGTGTTGTCCCAGTTTCTGTGGTCACTGCATCAGGAGACTGTGGAAGAGCTCCTGCAAAGTTTTATAAGCCCTCCACAATATTTAGCAACACCGTTTACATGTAATGTGTGCTGTTTCACTCAGTGCTAAGCGGAATGTAGAAATGGAAACCTTGAGTTCCTGGTGCACAGTAGTCATAGTACAAGCCAAGCTGTTCATTCCATCTTGCAAAGAAGTATGTGAGTGGCAATGAATGGACGCATGCCTCATGTTCTCTGTTTTCATTTGGCTTCGTTGGCTTTCATTTGTGCTGTGCAGGGAGAGGTATCCCAGGCTCTCGGGCATGGTAGGTCAGCACCCTTCCCCTGGGCCACCCCTATAGCAAATCCCTCACAATTTGAATGTTTAGCCGTGGGTTGAGGAGTGGAAAGTCTGTGTCTCTTTGGTGGGTGTTTTGATCTTCATGTGGTACAGGGGTGTGTGTATGCTTCTTTTGGAGTAATTAAACCATGTCTTTACCACATTTGCTCCCTTGTAAATGTTGATGTTTGCATTTCTAAGGCAAGATGACCAGGGCTGATTTCCGCACATGTTTTTTGTTTCAGAAATTCGAGGTGATGAGAGATTCTCAGGGAAATTCCATTGCTGAAGAGCTGAGACGTCTCATAGCCGCCTTGGAAATAAAACTTCTGATGGTGCATGTAAGTACCGAGCCTTTCACATAGAAAATGGGGATAAGCCCAACCCTGGGTGCTATGTATTTTACACCCATTTAATACTTCCTTTACTTAACAGAGCCAGCAAGAGACTGCTGCTGCTCCACAGTCTCTCCTGGATACGTTATTCTCATAATACTTTGGAGGACAAAAGTCGATATGAGAGGAGCAGAAATAAGCTGGGTGAATCTACTTGTGGTGATACTTGCAGCTTCGGTGACTAGATCTTCTCATGTTGTCCTCCTGTTCCTGAAGATTCCCCTTTCTGTTAAAACCCCCAAGCCCCAAGGATTTGTGTGACAGCAGTGCAAATATGTTTGTAGGAAGCTCCAGCCCTCGGGTAGAAACAGCAGGCTTTCCTTGGTAGCATGGTAATTGAGGGTTAGCACACATTAGGGTTGATATAGTGGATTATCATACCTGAGCGTCATTTTCCCAAATTAGAAGGCACACAAGTGGGCCATCCTTGTCCTGTCCAGATAAATAATTAAAGAAGATGCAGTCTTTCTTTTACATTCTGTTCTTAAATGTGTTCAGTGATGGAGCCTATGGAACTGACCTTAAGCTTCCAAAGGCAGTGTGCTCTTTAAAAGACTGTGCCTCAGAAATAGTTAAACAAGTAGAATTTATCAAGCCTCCCGAGTAAGAAAGATGTGAGTAATGTGACTTGAGTCTGTGGAAATGTTATTTGCAGACAACATTTACAAGGTCTTTCAGTTAAATGTGTCTGTCACACTAAGAGGTGATTCTGAACATGAGAGTACAGCTCAACTCGGCCATGGTTGATTAATTTCCTCACTTGTATGGATAGGAGTAACTGAGACTGTTTTGTTTTTGAAATTTATCACGCATGTAGTATGTGATCATCAGGGATACGGGAGGTCTCCTGTACAGCTAAAGCTCATGTCCTGTGATTTCCCATATGTATACCCTGGAAAATCTTTACTTGGGAACATTTGATTTAATAAACCTGAAATTGTTTCAGGCTTGTTGGGATGAGTCATTTAATTGCACTCTCTTTCTGATGTTCCTGACATTTCACCCCTTCCCAGACAGAGATGGCCCCATGCCTTGTGGAGGTGTGCTATCACGTGCATTCCAGGCCGCTTATCTCATTGTGCCCTGTTGTGTAGAAGCATTGAAAACAGGCTGTGTGAAGCCTCTCCCATTTTCTACAAGTGGAATTGCATTCCTCCAGAGTGAATGAGGGCTTCCCTGCTGGGATCATTTTACTTTCTATAATTTACATTATATAGAAGAACTTTCCCCCTTGTGCAAACTACCTGTCAGCCTGTGGCCCTTGAGTATTATTTCTTCATTATGTTGTTGTTGTAGTAAGTATTATTTCCAGTTTTGAACGTCTCCTACTTGAGATATTCTGCCTTATTTCCAGGCATGGATACACTCCATAGTATTTTCCCAGTGTTGAATTCTATATTATTTGTGTGTGTGTGTGTGTGTGTGTGTGTGTGTGTGTGTGTGTAAATATTCCCTTTTGAGTGTGGTACATGTGTATATGCATTCATATGTGTAGGCAGACGTGTG